CTCTCTCTCTCTCTCTCTCTCTCTCTCTCTCTCTCTCTCTCTCTCTCTCTCTGATTCTCTCTCTCTTTCTCTCTCTTTCTCTTTCTCTCTCCGCCTGCTTCATCCTCTTTCTGTTCTCCTTCACAGTTTCTCTTTCGTTTTCCACCCCTTTCTCTCTGCTTCTCGATTCCCCTTTCTTTCTTTCACCTGCACGAGCCCCACGACCTCGAAAACTTGCTCGCCACGCCGGAAAATATATCTGCCATTCGGCCTCGACCGAATAAACAGAATATTCAGATAATTTTCCATATCCTATCTCCTTGTCATTCGTAAGCTCTTCTCAAGCCACCGCTTGGTGTTTTATCTCCAGTTCTTGACTTACAGCTTTTTACCGCGTTACCACTGCTTTTCTTTGTCCAAGGTAAATTAATCACTTGTGCTTTCGATAGGATTTTTCAACGAATCTATTAAACTGATCAAGAAGTCTCCACGTATCATACGTTTGACAAAAATTAATTTTGCGATTGATGCGTTCGACAAGATAAATAAATACGAAGAAATAGATAAGAAATAATTTAACGACACGACAAAGACTCAGGTCGGCGAATACATTGTGTTATTTGTATGTCATGAACTTAGGTCTGTATCCGCCGATACCACTCCAAACGCCGTGCATAAAGGCGATATCGCCTAATGAAGGCTGGACGGCGGGCGGATCCACCGTCATAATTATCGGTGAAAACTTCTTCGATGGACTGCAAGTTGTTTTCGGGACGATGCTAGTGTGGAGTGAGGTCAGTACACTCCAATATAATATAACATAATTATAGGATTGTGTAATAAGTAATAAATAATTGGATTTTTCAGGGTTGAAATTATTATATTTTTATCTAGTTACAATTTTGTGGAACATTTGCGAAAGATGTTGGTAGAATATTGATCAAAATTATGTATTGTTTCATAAAATTATAACGACAAAAATACAATCATTCCATTCCAATTACATATATCATTTCGTTTTATCTAAAAGATCCAAAGTTACTTATTACGCAACTTTATTATTATATAACAAATTACGCACGGAAAAAAACATTTGGTTGTTAACCAGAATTCTTGAGAATTCAGAAACTTCAACTGGAATTTCTGATTGGTTGACATTTCATCAAACATTTGATAAATGTCTGATGAATTTTTGTCCATTCACAATGTATTGTATTAATTTCAAAATGTAAGAAAGTAATATGTGTACACGCATAAAAACTCTGACACTTTTTCCACAGCTGATCACCCCGAACGCGATCAGAGTGCAAACACCGCCGCGACAGATACCGGGTGTCGTCGAGGTGACGTTATCGTATAAGAGCAAGCAATTCTGTAAAGGAGCTCCCGGCAGATTCGTCTATGTCTGTAAGTACGAGACGTCCAGCTTCCCGCGAGGAAGATTCGCGCGAATAAAATCGTCCTGACGGTCGACAGTCGCGAGAGGATCGCTCCTCCTCGATCTCGTCGACAACGCACTAAGAACGAGCGAATCTCCGCTATATTTTGCAGCGTTAAACGAGCCGACGATCGACTACGGCTTCCAGAGGTTACAAAAGCTCATCCCGCGGCACCCGGGCGACCCCGAGAAGCTGCCGAAGGAGATCATACTGAAGAGGGCGGCGGACCTAGCGGAGGCCCTTTACAGTATGCCCAGAAGCGGTAACACAGGGATCACGGGTGCACCGAGGAGTCCGGGCTCGGTGCACGCACCCGCACCACCCACATCTAGTTCGGCAACGGCCTTCAACTCGTACACGGGGCAATTGGCGGTGACGGTACAGGAAAACGGTAGCGCGGCCAAATGGACGGACGGTATGTACGGTACGGTGGTCAACAGTGTTATCGAAGTATCTTAGATGTACATTAGAAGCTAATAGAGTTAGAAAGCATCTATTCGAGTTTGGTCGACTGATACACACAGCATTTCGAACACGAAGTGTAATCTCGACTTAATGATATTATTGAGTCTCATTAAGTTACAGAAAGTATAATCGATTGTGTCTGAAAAATCGATTGTACGACCAATGAAACGAGATGAATATTGTTTCTCGAGAATTGCACTTATTTATCGTGTCTGATTCGATCAACAGTTAAGCTTTCGTTCGATGGTAATCAAAGCGACGCGTGGAATCTTTACAAGTAACGAGCATTCGATTTGATTTCTGTATCGAAGAGAGTGCTTCTCGATCTTCTTCGTGGAGGAAGGATGCGATTACCTACCCCCGTACGGTTAAATCCGAGTTAAATTTACTAGGCAACCGATCATGACCTGAGCGATCAAAAGATACTGACGAGTTCGTCTGACGGGCAGGTTTCTATTTCTAGACGGTAGTTCCGTGACGACAGGAGCCGGTGTTGGCGGAGGAGGCGGCGGCGGTGGCGGCGGAGGTGGCGGCGGTGGTAGCGGCGGAAGCGTCGGCGGCAGCGTCGGTGGTAACGCCGACGCCTACAGACAAAGCAGTAGTGCAAGTCCACGTGGCGTCGTAACCGGCGGTGGTTACTGCGGTAGTTCGGCCAGCACGCCCCACAGTCACAGTACTAACGGAAGTTACTCCGTCGCCAATCCGTATACCGGCAGCCCGACCCTCTACACCTCGCGTAAGTTTTCCCGCTTTCTCTCTTTCTCGCCTCCGAGAGCGATCCCGCTCCCGTACAAGCTCCGCGGAAAGTCCAAGCTGTGTATACATGGGCGTGTGTATGTGTATGGTGTAAGATTGATATACAGTTCTGCAAAGTCGCAATTGTATTCGGGCGAACGGAAACTGGATATTGTCAATTCAGTTGAGATGACATCCCGGTACAAGACTAATATATATTCCAATCTTAATTTTATTATTTAATATTATAATTTAATTTGATATAATGTATATATAATATTTTTATATAATAATATAATATAATATGTATTTTTTAATTCTAATTATAACAATATAAAAAGTTATAAGGATAATTAGTGCTCGATTGAATAATTTCCATTGAAGTTCGCGTTTGCAAAATTGTCGTTCTTGTCGATTAAAATATTTCTTTTGTATTTTATTAATTTGGGAAATTTGTCTTCCTTTCGCCCGGAATTATTTTCGCGCGCTATTGCGTCCGTGTTGCAAATCAGCTGCGCTACAATGACCGTGGGAGAAATCTCTTGTCGGTTACTTTGTGCGACTTTCGGTACAACTTAGAGCGAGTTCACGGGCATAAGTCGGGGCATAAGCATGCGCTTCTGTCGATTTAGCGTTATTTTTCGATGCACGATGCACTTATGATTTTCCCTTATGTGGAATTTTCGTTTTAGCGCACGAACAATACGGCATTTTCTATACGTCCGGAGACGGGAGTGCGTTCGCCCCCGTAGTACGACCACCGACCACCTCAGTCCCACCGCACTGGTCCACACAGCACCACCTCGCCACAGCCGCCCAGTAACCGCTAACCGTCCACCATCACCACTACCACCATCATCACCACCACCAACCACCCTATGCACTGTGATTAAAGAATTATGAGACGACACTCGAGAATGTATGTACGCTCTCACTTACGACTACGCGACTTACTTATCGTGACATCTGTCTCGCTGTCGCGCGACACGTACTGCTGATTTTTGTGTTAGGCTGAAATCTCGGCCGCTCTCTTCCTACAGTCGCTGCGTAACTCCCGGTGATTAGTTCGAAACAATACTTGCCAGAATCTCGAACGTCTTCAAGATATCCTGAGCAAATCCAGGATTATTTCAGGACATTTTGTAATACCTGGAAAAATACATGATCGTGAATTCTTTTTATGGAAATAGATTGATAGTTTCTTTGACAAGAGGTATTGATTAATCGTTGAAGCAAATTCGCAATGCTGACGCAAAACAACTAAAAAACGGTCACTTATTACAGTGCTTGTTTTTCCGATGGGCATCCGTGTGTCTTCAGTAATGTGATGATATTTTACATGATATAATAATATATATAAAAAGTATAAAGAAATAAATAGAAAGAAATAACGAAATCATCCATTGTTATTTTTGATTTCCGTATTAAATAAATAATTATTTCCATCACATCTTTTACACGAGAATTCTTCGAGTTTCCGCTTTTATCGCGGCGCAAAAATCAAGTGTTAGCCGTGTGCTTGTCGCTGCTTATTAACTCTCGTGCATTCGCATTGCCGTATGTTGCCGTAGCATTTAAGCAATAGCGGATTACTAACGTATAACTGACAGTGGGCATGTTGCAGGATTAGGAGAGGTGGTCGGTTCACCCTTCAACATGAACCCATTTATGTTGCCCACCTGCAGCCAGGGATACTCGGCCGCCGCCAGTCCACTGCTCTCGTCAAACGGCAAATAGTGCTACGAGATGTAAGCTCCAACGAAAGCATCGCGGAACACGGCCTTCGCGGGGACGACGTGCGAAACAGCGACAAACTGGCGAATTGTTCGGCGACGCAACGCATCCCCGTGAACTCGTACCACTTATATCGCGATCCCGCGTCTCTTTTACTTCCTCCACTCTCTCCCACGGCTGCGTGAGAAGATGGAGGAGAAGGAGGCAGGGGGAGGAGGTAGGGCCGTTTATCCGCGTGCGTGTTACTTTCGTCGGAGTGAAAGTCTGCGGGTTCGTAAGGAATCAGGTAAACCAGTGCAAAAATCCACGACAGCTGTCTCGCACCGATCACCGTTGATCGCGCTAGTTAAGGAACGATACATATCGAACAACGAGAAGGTGTCTTTCGCGTCTGTGAGCGTATTAACAAGCTCGATCGAGCGAACGTGGCTCGAACGGGGTCGTTGTAGAAAATGTACTCGGGAAACCATCGTTTTATTTTACTTTTTTTCCGTTTCGTTATCAGTATTAATTTATAGCCAATATTAAATACCGACCTAAATAAATCAAACATGTGTTGTGTAATCTGAAAATAAACGACGTAGAGGCCAGTCCTGCGAAACGGAGGAACGCAATAATCGGAGGTGTATAAATCAGCGATAGAAACTCGGCGCGTGACGTTCTGATCGTTTATTTTCATCAACTTCGACATAAATACAAAAATAATGTATGAATGAGTACTTATAAAAATTAACGTTAAATTTAAATATATTCTTCGAAAGAAAAGAGAGGAAGTTAAACGAAGAGGCGTGTTAAGCTAGCTTGCAGAAGCTAGAAGTGAAACAAATATAAAACATGATTAATACAAATGAGAAAATGAAAGAAAGAGAAATATCTGAAGTTATCCAAGGTCTCCCGAAATGATATTGTAAACCATTTGGCTCAAGTGACCTCTACATTGTTCATTTTTAGATCCCAACGATTGGGTCCTTCTTTGTTTGGTGTCTTTGTGTAAATTTGTACAAATAGTGATCTCTAGTTATACGTACACCCTCGCTTCGTTTCTCCTTCGATCTCGTTTCAAATGATTTGATTACACACTGCAACGTTCAGTCACAAATTATTATCGTCTATCGACGAAAAGGTCATCTCGAAAATGTCAACGATGAAAGACTTTTTCGTCGATAGATTGCAATATCGTCACAACGATGCGCCTCCTGTATTCGAGATGTCGATGTTTCATCACAGAATATTTTGAATCTGAGTTTTAGGCAAAAAATAGATTCCCCGCGAATCGAGCGAGGAAAGCCGAGAGATAAAAGGCGTCAGATATTTTATATAATTCGAATGAGGAGGAGGTTGGTGAAGGTCGAAAGGAACCGACACCAGTCGACGGACATATCGCTTATCAGTGAATAACAGATACCATAGTTTTAGAGAGCATTTTCGACTTCGAAATTTTAACTTCCTACTCCCCCCCGTACGATTAAGAGACTAACCAATATCGCTTAGTTAGCGTACCGTGTAATTTGTAATCTGTAAAATATCTGTAAATATTGTTGCGATGTACAAAATGAAGGAAAGAGAGAAAGAGACGGTGGAAGAGGAAAGAAAAAAAAAGAGAGGAACAAAAATTATTTCCAGGAATCCAACGAAGTGACATTAACGTCGTTCTAGAGAGTGAAAGATTATACATAGATGTAAATAAAAGGTAGAGCGTCCGTAGCGCACATCCGCACATATATCACTGTATACTGTCGGCGTTATCCAATTTTTTAACGTAATATCGTAAACGCGTGAGTTCTTACGTATCGCTCCGTTTCGCGGACACGCGCCGGACACCAATCGAATTCATCGCAATCCGTTCCATTCCTCGCTCTGAAACCAAACGGAAAAGAGAAAAAAGGAAAAAGCGGCGAAGCCAGGATGAATAACGCGAGTAGTAGTATCTCGCCGATGGCAGAGAGACCAAGCCGAAACACGTTAAAAAATTGGATCGAACGCAAGCTGTATAAAAACGTATATAGTTGATTTGGATCGTTTGATAAGCCGGCCCGAAACAAAACGAAAAATCTCATACAACTCACGAAAGTATACGAATGCATATACCAGAATTGAGAGATTCCCCCCGAGGTCCCTCCCCGGCCCCCGATTAGTCCGAGAGTTTTTGCAGCGGCGGCAGCAGTTCACGAGCGTAGATCGTATCGTTTTGTCGAGAACGGAAAGAGGAGTCGTTATAAAAGAAGAAAAAGAAAAAAAGAAGTTATTATTATAAAGAGTTCCTTTTTGCATATCGACTTGGTATGTATCTTTCTTCTAGGAAGTGCATTCTTCGTCCCGGAGCCGAGCGCTCTGTGAACTTGTGATGTTGATTATATAATATATATATATATAAATATATATTGATTGTAACCTTGGTTCAATCATGTCACGTCATCATCTTTCACGAGACGCGTTGTTCTTGTACGCACGCGACAACACGACACACGCACACTATCGCGCGTATGAACACTCTCTCGTCGGTGTATATTGAAATAAATTAAACTTACTTTTTGAGAATTAAAAAGACGAAAAGATCTCGATGACGGAGGAATCTTTATTCTACTATTCTTGTGTTCCTTTGCCGTATTCATCCTCCCTGGGCCTCTCTCGATGTAGCAGCCGGTGGTGCGATAAGGCACAGTCAGAGTACCTGCGTTCTCTCCTCAACGCAAACTGTCGGAGAAAAGGTCACATATTTAACGCTTAACTGTGCGCCTTTGTAAATATCCTGTACAAAATTAGATATTTTCGAGAGATTTCTCATGGAAATTCGTTCAAATAATTTATTTATTCATTCAACGATATAAAAGTTTTAACGCGCTATTGTTCAGACAACAATATTGGTAACAAATAATTTTAATTTCAGCTCAAAAACCGGTAGATTTTGTGACAAATCTCTTCGGGACATATTTCTTTTTCCCACAACGATGAAAGGGTCGAATATCGATGGAATCGTGATAGGATACGAGATCTGCAGCGACAGGAAGAATGGAGGATGTTTTGCATAATACATCAATCGCTAAACTCAGCCGGCAGCTTGTTTGTCCCGGGAGAAAGAGAAAGAGGGAAAGAGCGAGCAGACCAAAATCAACAAATAGCGAAACAGGATCCGTGGAGGACCACTCCGGACCGATTAGTTCACATGGTGTCCCATTACCTCCCGCCGCCAAGCGGTGGCCTCGTACGATGCACGTTATTGTGAAGCTGTTTGTGTTATTAGATTTAGATTGGCCGGCACGTGGCGCGCGCGGCAGGGGCTGACGGCCACGTGCCGCGTCGCGAACGTTACACACGTGGGTACAATACAAAATCGTTTTCCTTCAAACACCGGTTTCTTTGGCTTCCCATAGGAGGAGCAAGGGGAGAATGTATCGATTTTCACCCTCGCACACGCTCTTACAATAACACACTAATTTTTCCGCTGTATATAATTTATTAAGAGAGTATACGCACATGAGCGCATAAACTGTGCACAAGCGTAGCATCTAATTGAAAAAGTAGATTCAGATTTTATTAAAAACTTTGTAACAGAGAGAGCACGCGCGTGTTACTGCGTGAGTTTGTCTGAAAATGTGTGCGCCAGGCAAACGGGGAGAACTGAGTCTCTCACGCCACGAGAAATGTATTTTCCCAGCCCTGTAATTTTATAATATCTCACACACGTCTCCTGAATTTTTAGCAAAAGTTCTCATTATAGAACTATTATTTCTGCCCGTTTATTAGGAAGTTGTGTGCGTATTTCTATTAAAATATTATCAAACGCGTATTTTCATATAACCAGTCGAAAAATTTACCATAAACTCGCGCGACGAGAAGTGGAATTGACAATTGTCTTTCAAACCGTATGTGTGTAAATGTAAAATATAACGTCAACTATTTACCGTTGTCGAACCGACGTCACCACAATAGTTATTACGAGCATTTAACAGTAGCAGTCGCAGCTTATATTTCAGTAGACCGCAACAATCTCGTTCTCCCGGTTATTTGAACCCCTAATATTACCCGAAGCTGCACGCGCCGCTTTCAACCCGCCGCAGTCTGTGTGAGCTCAATTTTTTGACACGTGCCCTACCATAAAACCTTACGCGACGCATCGCGGACGAGATCTAATTGGAATCTACAAAAAGTACAAAGCGTGCGATTTTATGGAAAGTCTATAAAAAATGTGTATGTTTTCCTCTTTGGAGATCTCTCACGAAGATGCAACGTTCATCTCGTTTCGTTTATACCTCGCCTGTATTTATTTCTTACCGAATCTCGATCTCGCTTTAGAACTCATCCATCACAATTGTGTGATATTAACAACAGCGACAACATAGTAATTATTAAACAACAAAATACGATAAGTTGCTTTTATAATAATTAACGCTTTTTATGATTATATAAATTAACGTCGTTGATAATGTTTTGTAATATATACAATTCCATCCTTTCTCGTGCAAAATCGATAAAAGGTAAGAGTTTTTTGAAAAGATCGTAAACGACGGAGGAAATTTCTTCTGCATAAATGTATTGGCATTAATGGTTTTTAATAAACAAGGCGTAAAGAGTTGCATATTTCTCGGGTGTAGCTCCTGTTAAGTTCTCTCTGCTGCTGATTGTGTGTCATCCCGCTGTCTGTAGGCTTATCGCAGCATCACCATACGCCGTCTTCACCATTACTATGTTATCGAGACTAAGCTCGGGTTGCGTGCGTCAAAGGGGAGGAACGTTCGTTCGGGCAAGCTGGGATAAGAGCAATCCGATGAGCCACCCCTGACAGTTCGTCGCGATAAGATCTCTGCTGCTGTGCAACGAGTCGGCTCTATTCGTATTCTGTTTGCTTTTGGCTCCTCCGACATTGCCTTTCAAGTCCGCTGTACCCTCCGGAAGAATATTACCATCTGCTTATTACCAGTAATCTTCATTCAACGATATCGAATTTCCCCGACCTCGTCGGGACAGTGAGTCTGCTAAAAGCGTGTCCGTTCGCACGAAAAGTGACTCGATCTATATTTTTATTGTTCACCAAGTACTGAGAGAACAAGAATAAAACGACGCTATTAGCATACAACATACTTTTTTTTAAAAAACAGTAATTGCAAACGGAGAAATAAATGGATCAAATAAGAGATAGCGCTACAGTTAAATGTTTGACAATGTTTGACGATGATTTTAAGTTTTAACGCGGCAAATCTGTTAAAGAATAGTTAACTTGTGTTCGAACATTTTGTTCAAATACTTTTAATATTCAAGACCAATGTATGGCCAGTAACTGAGAGATGTTCCCTGGGTTTGGTACTGATCAAGCAATACTGAAATAGCAATTTCATTCACTAACTTTTTTTCTATTTTATTTTTTAAAATCATTTATCTGAGACTCGAACCTTATTCAAACTCTTCTTAACCAACACTCTAAAACATGGAACTAACTAGTTCTCCACTTGCCGTTAGATGTCGCCAGGTACATTTCGACGGGGCATACGCTTGGCTATTATTTTAAAGTAGTTCCAAAGTCTCCGCTACGAGCCGCCACCGTTTCTACCACCATAAAATTTAGTCAGAATTAAGACAAATTATATGATAATTATTGATTGATCCGCATCTTATTCACCATATTTAGGAGTAATATAAATGAGAGTGATAGAGGAAAGAAGGTAATACAATGTATCATTTATTTAATGTTTAACGTCTTTGGCCCGTAATGTACATAAAATAAATAATGTCAGTAAGAGATAATAACGTTGTCAATATTTTTCGTTCCATTTAAGTAAGAACAGTTTTTCATCAAAGTTCGTCCTTTATTTTGCCGTTTCCTTAACGACGGATCTTTGTTTTCAAGTAGTACGCATCAACGACATATGAGAAAAATCGATATAAATATTTGGTATAATGTATTATTAATTTCATGATAATCTATAATTTCGTTATTATATAACCTAAATTTCAGTTTTTCCAGGATTTCATAAAAGGAGTAACTTTGAATTTATCATTGTCCGACATTACCGAGAACTGGAAACATCATTGTTCTGAAAAAACGTGCACGCCATGCTCAAACACGGGTACAGATTTATGAAATTATCTTACATCAATTCCTTTAAGATATAAGAATATTAACTCAATAAGAACTTTTGCTCTCGTTTATTTCAATGTAAGAACGCTATCGATTCACGATAACCAGAACCTTCTTTCTCTCACGGAGCTAGTTTGACTACATCGCAGATCGGTAAAAAGGGTTTTCCTCGACAACATATGCAGAAGTCGACGGTTTTTCATCTGGTGTACAGATACTTGAACGAAGTTGCTGATAGGGACCTAAGATGGAGGCAGCGAAACAACGCGTATAATCGATTCCGCAGGCAACATGCGAGAAGGAAGAATATCCGCACACAAGCTTCTACATTGACTCGAATGAATTACGACGCGGGAATCGGCGATGTATGCGCGCGTCCAGATCAAAAAAGACTTCCTGAAATGCTCAGGACGCTTAGGAGCTCGTCGGAAGAATGCATCGCCGATTATGCAAGAGCTGTCCAGGATGGTACGCTTACACCCAAATGTAATACACGTCTTAGCATTACATAAGCAGAACTATTTATAATTTATACAATTTTAATACGATTTTTAACTTTATGCTTTATGAAATGGAGGAAACCTTAGTAAATTGTATTTATTTGTTTAAACTTCAAGAAGTCTGAATAAATTATAGAGTACCAGAGTGCCGAATAAATTATATTTTAATAATGGTAGTAAACAATAATAAATAAATGTTACGACACATATGACGCCTAGTGTGTAAGACTTTACAATACTCATAAACCGATTAATCGATTCTTGATTTTTTCGTTTAGAACGTAAACGTGCCAAGTCCTATATACGACACGCGCTCTTATATGGCTTAAGATCCGGATTGTTAATCCCGACTAATCGTCAGAGAACGTTGCACGTTTCCGAAAAATTGGGAATCTTCTCAACGAAAGACTCAACGGGATACGAAGAGGATCAATCGAGTACTTCAAGTAGTGACACCTGAAACGATTTCGATCACGTTGGATTTTATCGTCAAAAGCATATAAGTATACATTCAATAATTATATAAGCATATATTTTGTTCCGTCTATAGATAAATAAACAATCACCGTTCATGATACAATGACATGTTTATGACATAACAATTACACGATATAATGATCATCACATAACGATATTAATCTTTAATTTGAGTTATGAATTATATACGTCATGAAGTTATGAATTATATACGTGAATAATATATAACATGAATAAAGCAATCAATCTAACACTCGTATATTTCATATATAATGCGCTGCAGTTTTTCCATCATAAAGTCTCTCCTTTGCGAGGAACACGCTATCACACACACATACTCTTGGAGGCTCCAAAAAATCGGACTGCAGTAATTGAGAAAATTAAACACGGATTAATTTTTCCTTTCCCCATTTCTTTGAACAAGTTTGCAGGCCACATCGATAACTAATGTTATCGCGCCCTACGTCGCTCGCATTCTTCGCGACAACGACGGATCCACCTCTTCAGCTCCTTTTCGCGCGTCGCGGACCTTCCACCTCGACGACCTCGCTGCCTTAGTCTCCTGTATACACTGTCCTCCGCATCTTCGTCTTCTACCCTTGCCACTTCCTCTTCTGCCATATCCTCTTTGTCATTATTGCGAGGATGTTTGTCCCGGTGGTTTCCGGGAACGACGCGAGGGGCGCGATCTCGAGGTCGTTTTCTCGCTTGTACGTCTTGAGCAACCCTGACAGTGCCGCAGGTGCAATTTAGATCTTCCTCCTCCTCCTCCTCCGTGGTGGTCTCATCGTCGTTCTCGTCATCTACACGTTGCAGGTGAGACGTTCTACGATCCCTCAGCCGTGCTTTCTTCGCTGGAGCCGGGGAAGTCGTCCTCTGGAGTACCCTGGAGGGACCGGTGATCGGACTCACCTGCTTCGCTTCGTGTATCCTCGCGGTATCATTGCGTCGTGGTTGCCGTTCCTTTCGCGCAGTCGAAGTATCCTCGCAGTCGCAAGCAAGTGGCGATTCTTCAGTAGTATCAAGACGCTCATCATTGCGGCCGTTGTTCATCGATTTTTCAGTCGAGTGCAGAATACCCATCATTGAGGGATCTTCAAGATGGTCGACGGTGAAGGCGGTTTCCCTCGGAGCGTGTTCGCGCGGCGATCGTGCATTTCGGTGCGGTCCGTTTCTTTCGGGGGAGTGTCTGCAACGACACGCGTCCGCTTCGCGATCGTTGACGACGCTCCTGCGTCTTCTCCGGATATCGTCCATCGTCCTTGAGGACACCCGACCTTCGCAATCGACGGAACAGCCGTTGGACCGTGTCGACTTGGCGACGGGACCGATTAAGTGATACTCGTTCTCGAGTAACTCCACAACGAATCTGTCATGAGAGCATCGTGATTGATTTATCTTAGTGTGACGTTCTTTTTTACAATTTCCTTTCTATTATGAACAATTCTATTAAATTTGAAAGAAAGAACCCAGAGATACAGAGCAATCGATTATGTTAATTAATTAAAATTCAATGATTTCAAAAGAAACTGACTAAAATCTATCTTGAAATAATTAATCTGTTAACTCTGAAACGATTGATTAGAAATGATAGGTCGTGAAACAATTAATTAAAACCTATCATAACTGATCAAAACTTCTTGATCCTGAAACCGCGGGTTATAACCTACTTCCATCACGTTACTCTTCGCGGCCGCGAACAGCGCGCTCGCTTTCGCCGAAATTGATTTTACATCGCGTATTTCGCAAGGTATATGGCAACGTGCACGGTGTGTACACGTAATTAGCACCGAGAACGAAATCGGTCGATAGATGCGCCCGCCTGGAAACGAGATAGAGACGAGCAATAGGCGCGCGATCGCCTTGAAAGCTCGCGATCGCGCCGCCTCACGCGAGACGACGACGCCACGGCTGACCTTCGACCTCTGACCACCTCGCGAGAGAGAACTAACCCTTGAGAACAGACCTGTCTCAGCGCGGTCCGCACCTGAGCGTAAAGGTCGCCGTCGCTGCGATAGTTGGTCCGGATATGGTCGACGATGTCCTCGGCGGTGGACGTCAACGGTTGGTCTACATCGCGCTGCAACGAGCGCATCGCCTCCATCACGCGCAGCGAGAACCTCCACGAATTCTCCACGGCGCACTTGCACTGTTGGCCTACCTGCACTACGAATAGTTTTCTCCTCTGTTCTTTAATAATTATAACGTGCGATAAATCTTATTTAATGCAAGCGACAGATTTTATCGTGAGCGGACAAACAAAAAATAATAAGAGGAAAAGAAGTATAAAAATTTATATATATAAAATAGAATAACTGTCTACACGCAAACAAAATTTCAGTTGGTGTAAACAAATAGGAATCAACTGAAAATTAGGTAATCAAAAGCGATATCTCTGTTATGAAAACTAATATTTCTGTTGTCGCAACCGAAAATATTCGTCTGAACATCCAACGATATTAGAACTCAGTTGAAGCAACCGAGAACAATTGATTATATAGAAGCCTCATAAAGGAATTCTTCTGTTCCTACAGCCGAGTTTTCGTCTGATCCCTGCGCAACCGAAAATTCGGTTGCACCAACAGTTTTTTCCGTGTATATGTTCCTTATCAATTTCTAAACCATTTGACTGAGCTGCATCAAATTTTGCATAGTTAATCTCTAGGAAAGAAACATTTTCTCTACGAAAAATGAAACCTGGACAACCCATTCTCTTCTCCTGATTTCATTCCTTTGTGGTAACTCGGGCAACGCAAGATACAGTTTAAGCTAGTAATAAGTAAAATTAAAGTAAATAAATAAAAAAGTGAAAGAATAAATTAAATAAATATAAATAATAAAATAACATAAAATAAAATAAAATTTTGTAAGGTTGCACGTTAAAGGGAACATTCAAGTGCGAATGGATCCATGTTTATTATGAGAAAAATTTTGAAATTCCCTTTTCGTTACATCGCGCGTAGATTTGTGCACTTGATTGAATATAAGATAAAACTGCATTGAAAAACTAATAAAGCTTTAAACGAACGACGCGTCATCTCTTGTGTGGGTCTCGCTTCTGTGTTGTCCAATTGATCGCAACCCTCTGGACATGGTTCTTCCTCATCTTCGTCGAGAATCTCCTGGACTAAAGCGTTGACTTTCCGTTCCGTTTCTCTGGTGCTTCTCATCGTCAATTTTGATTGCCGCCTAAGAGGTTAATAGAAAACGTCATTTTCGCACACTCGGCGGGAGTTATAACGCGTCTGACAGTCGTCGCGTTTGAAAATTTTAGGAGGGGATCCAAAGAATCGCATTTTGTTATTCACCAAGATTCAATTGTAAATTCTCCTTTAGTGTAAACTCGTGAGAACTTTCAAATACTTTCAAAAAGTTGAAGAATTTTTAATTTGCGCCGACTCACAAATAGTGTTCTCTGCTTCGTTAATTTCGGAAGATTGCAACAAAATGGCCCGAAATTTTAATCCTGTTTTCGACCTGGGACCCGGTTCTTGACGGTGTGCGAATGAGATACGCATGCGAAAATTTATAGTATACGTAACGTGAACTATAAGATTTTCGTATGCGCATTTCATTCGCATGACGTTGAGAATCACCCTGAACGTTTTAACATTTGTACATTCTGAAAGATCAGGGGCCCGATTCTCGACGGTGTGCGAATGAAATACGCATGCGAAAATCTACAGTATCACGTGAACGTGAACGATACATTTTCGCATGCGTATCTCATTTGCATACTGTCAAGAATCAAGCCTCAGAGTATGTTTAATACACATGCAAACTGAAGTTCTACTTAGCGCCTCTAAATGGCGGAAGACGTAAAAAATGACACTTGTAGGTTCTAAAGAGGAACTCTTGACAAAACTAGAGAGTAAGTTAAATAGAACCAAATAGAATTAAATAAAATCTAAAGAGTTTGTTATAGGCTTCAGAGTATTAAAGTGGATGATAAATGAAACATCGAGGTCGAAAATATGATCAAAATTTCGGCTCGGGAAGTCGCCTGATGTACGTCCTCCACGACTCGCTATTGATTTACAATTGAAATAACGCCACAGAGAAAGGTGCTACGGTCAAGGGGCGTAAATGGGTGTAGAGAGAGAAAAAAGGTAGGAGGAGCGGCTCGCTTGGGCCGCGATCAGTCCGTGTGAGTCGATAGGGAGTGCGAGCGCATATACGTGAAATATTAATAATCCGAGCAGTCAGTGAACGTGAGGTCTGTGTACATGGAAGCCACTTCTAGCCTGGTGCCGGACGACTTTCTAGACCGAGAGACGCTTACATTGTGCACGAATTGCGATAAAATTGCATCGTATGTACGTACGTACATATATACGTGCGGGCGACGTGGACACGTAGATCCGATAATATTAAAATTACACACACGCCGTCAGCGTTTTTCCATAATAACGGCAACACCTGCGAAACGCCCACCGCAATTCCCAGTAAGCTAGTAAAAAAGGGGGGACAATGAGGAAAATGTCATCTCCCGATCAATTCGCACAGGGTCGCGTCGATCAGCCACTGTCATCGTCGCTCGTAACTTTCCACATAAGAGCGCGCGACGGAAAATCATAAAAATGCATGGAGAGAACATTTTTCATGTGAATTCTTTCAAATTTTACTATAAGAATATTCAAATTTCGGAACGGTACTTTTCAAGAAATTGTACTGTGCTTTCCTCGAAGATTTTCATTTTTTTAGGGGATGTACGTCTAGACTGCTCGGCGCAATCTAAAAATTCTGCGGTGGAGGCGATATGCTTTTTTTCCTTTTCAAGGTAATTTACCTTCCCGACTCGCGTTTACGGAAGATCAACTTGTGTCTCTCCCACGGGGCGCTTCGACTCGCCCGCTCTGATACATTATTAAAAGTTACTACAACGTAAGTTATATGTGCACGCGGCTACCCCTCGCTAATAAGATTCGCGATAGTACCTCGCGAAACCGGCACGATAAAGTAAGATTACGCGGACGGGGTGGAGGCGAATCGCGAAGAAGAGGTAAGACTCGGGCAGGCACCACGCTCCACTTTTTCCTCGTTCGCCACGGCGTTGATGCACGCCGGCGAGGGGAGCGGGGTGCAGAGGTGTGGGGGCGCGGGTGATTTCGCTTGTTGTTTCGCGCCGTTTCC